AAAACTATAACCTCGACCACAATGAACCATTTAGTAGCTGTACTTCCTGCCAACGAACAAGGAACGGTCGGAAAAATTGCGAAGATGAGCGTTAATCACGCGGGACTAAATTAAACGATAACGAGGGATTGATATTATACTCGCAATTCTTATCCCCTTTATGAAAGTTAACGCTCCGGCCGGTTTACCCGACCTCGGTAAACAAAACCATTGTTCCCGGAGTTTCCGCCGTAAAAGTGGATTAAAACTATTTTCATTGTTTTTCTTCCCAAAAAGGAGAAAAAACGAGGAAAGAAGAAGAAGAAGAAGAAGAAGAAGAAGCAGAAGAAGAAGCGAAAGAAGGGCGGGAGGGGCGAAAAGGGGGAGGATAAAAAATGAAAGAAGAAGGAGGTACACCGGAAACTCGTATTTCTAGCCGGCCCCCTTTTTCCGCCGTGAACCGCGGCCTCCGGGAAGTTTCGCAATTAATAAGTAATTTCTCTCCACTTTATAGCGGGAAGAGGAGGAACTGTCATAAAAAGTTTCGACGCCCGTTTCTTTCGCTTCGATCGGCCGGTGCCGGCGATGAAAAACAATACAAATAAATATCGCCGCGGAAATCGCCGACGTATTTCATCGCGAACTAATTCCCGGTGTCCCGCGTGTGTCACGCGTTACACTTTCAAGCCGCCGACGCCGTCGCCGCGCGACGAGTATCGATTCTTATTATCGGGACGCTTCGCCAATTAACACTAACCGTAACGGGAGACGGCCGGGTTTAAAATTCTGCGTTTTCTTCTGTTCATTTAACACGTGGAGCTTCAAAATTGCTTAAATATAATTATAATGGGAACAGTGATGTCGACTAAACATAGTAACACAAACTAGATGATAGTGTAACTAGTGTAATGCGTGATAGTAAGTCATTAATAATTATTTGTAATACCATTTGCCTTTGTTATGAAACAATATGTTTTGTTAGACAGCACAATCGAAATTCTCGTGGTAGTTAATGTGTTTTTTTATTAATTACAATAAGAAAACTGATGTTGAATCAAAGTAATTAGTATCACAAACAGCTAGATGATAGTGTAACACGTGTACTGTGATAGTGAATCATTAATAATTATTTGTAATACCATTTGCCTTTGTTATAAAAGAATATGTTTACACAGAACGTTCGAAATTCTCGTGGCAATTAATGTGTTAATTTTATATCAATTCCTATATTGTCTAATTAATTGGTTCCTCAATTTTCTTCCTTCCTTCCGTTTCTGTATTCACTAAAAAGTATTTATCAGCTAATTTGGTTATCTCTATTTTGTAGCAAATTATTTTAACATATTGAATGGTATGGGGGTCACCGGTGACCACCAAGCAAATCGATTTACTATGGTTGACACAGTTAAACGATGATTATTTGGAAACATTTCTGTATTATGAATAATGCTATTTAATGCGGTGGCATTCGGGTAGATCAGTGTGGAGTAATACCAATGCGATTAATATTATATTTTTCCTTTTGTGTGTTTTGCTGGGATTCAAGGGAATTTTGATTGAGATTTGAACGGTTGGAAGTTGAAGTGGGAATGTAGTGGTATTTAATTGTATTGTTTTTGTATTTCTGTGAGGTTGAGTAATTAAAGTTGGGAGTTAAAATAATAGTGACATCGTTGTTTAGAAAATTGAGGAAGTATTGTTAGAGTTCAGTTGTTACAGTGGAATTGTATACTTAGGTATGCCTGCCCTATTACTGAGTGTAACTACTAGTGCTCTATCACTTAACAGACAAATTATTGAATATCTAATTAGTGGATGTTAAGAGTGTTTCTAAGGCACTTAAAAGAATTTTATTAAACTCTAATTGATCCAAAAATATTGTATTAAAAGAAATTTATGTCTAAATAGAATGTCTAAATTACTATTGATTCATACTACTGATCTTTTGTCACTATTCCTAACAAAATAAATGATTAATTATAAAGTTCTTCCACATTAAAATATTCCTTAACAGAAACCTAAAAGAACATTATTTTAAGCTTCTAATATGCTAGAAGAATTTTCTATCTAATTGTGTCTGACCAATTACTGACTATTACTACTAGTTTGCAATTTCAAGCACAATAAAATCGTTTCATCAGCATGTAAAAGCTTGCAAATATTTAAAACAAATTCACTGTACCGCTGCCAACCGAAATCAATGAAAAAATAACAGTGAAATGCTGCGGAATAAAAACCGCACGCGTCAAACAGGTGAAACATGAAGTCAACGAGGAAAAGCGCTTACACATTCGCCCTGTTGGAATTGTTTCGCGACAAACTTCCGCGTAAATCGAGTGCACAGAAGTGCAATTTACGCCGGGAACGTTTGAACCGGAGAATTAAAGCGACTTTCGAGAGCGGAATTTTGTTAACAAATCACTGCTATCGGAGAAACCTGGGAACCGCAATTGTGTCGAAAGACAATTGATTTAAATTTTTTCCATCAACACGAACCACACCGATCTTCAACGTTAAATATCGCAACATCAAATTTGTCTAATTTTACCAAAATTTTACACTATAAAACATAACATACACAAAAATGTATAATATTTATTTATCACAAACTTCTCATTATAAAATAGAACCTGTAAACTAAATTTCTAAAATTTTATCTAATTTGAAGCTTTCTAATTTTCCAAATCTTATCTAATCGATAACAGCTAAAAGCTTCTAAATTAAGGTAACTAATTTAGAAACTTTCTAATTTTTCAGATATTGTCTAACTAATTCAGAAACTTAATTTTTCAAATATTATGTATCTCAGTGGGAAACTATGCAGAACAAACTTTTTATAATTGAAAACCTAGTATCTCTACAACGAATTTTAAAAAAGGAATATTCAAAGCGAACCAGACTTCGAAGCAAAATATTTTTTGTTGCATGGGATTGCCTGCTATATAATGTTTCAGAGGCGGAACAGTATAGCTGACTGAGACGTGTCAAGTAGGTCGGTGGATGACAAGCACAGGGACACGTGCGGTAGACACCTAAACACCTGCAAAGACAACTCATATGACGGACAGTGTCACCTGTGCCGTGGAAACACAGCGGAGACAGGATCACAGAGGAGATGGACTTTCTCCCTCTCGCCTCAGGGATTATTCATAAGTTATGGACGCATTAATTATAATGGAGAATCCAGATCCGACTGTTTATTGACTTGACGTATCCACTAAAATGACTCGACGCTCGCGCTAATCTTTTCCGATGAGAATTCTCTATTATCTGATTCACTGGAATGAATCTCGAACGTTGAATACTATTAAATTAATCATGAAGATACAATTGTACTATTTGTTTGAAATTCATCCTTGTTAAGTGACAAAATATTGCGACAAATTTGTCATTAAAAATATTATTCTACAGATTTTCTAACCTGTTTCTGTTTATCATAATTATACATAAATTCAAATTCTCTGAAATTTTGGAAACGAGTCTTAATGACAGAAAAATTCTTGATAGAAAATCTAATTTATTGTATTTTGTAATTTATATATTAAACATTGATTCCAGAAGGTACTAGTTCACAACGAAACTTGTTTTCAATATTGTAAAACTGATTTTCAATAATTTACATTCAACTCAAACATTTTCTAAATATAAATCCAATCCATACACCAGAAAATTCTAAACTAAAATTCTGAAACAATAGCAAACAAACAATTCACGCCAGGGAACCATCAATCTCCACTATCACTGAATCAACCCCTCGACACTAAGTCCAACCGACTGCACCAACCTCCAAAGACGCGTGTCCCATGTCCCATGAAGAACACATAAATTACAAACAGCGAGACCCCATGAAATGTCGTTTAGAATAACTTTTCGACCAGAGAAGGTAGTAGGGGAGGGGTGCAAGTTACCTGTGGCGCTTTTGTACGCGTGTTTCCCAGCGGAAGGGGGGAAAAAAAGGAGGGAAAACGAGGCCAGTCCCCGTGGACTGAAATTATGAAAATATTAAGGGGGCACCGGGCGAGCCACTCGTTAAAAAGTAATTGCGCGAACTGCTCCGCAATAACTGAATATGGAAGAGCGAACTCCGGGATTCGCGCGCGGATCCAAAGAGCACGGACCCCGTGTGCTTTCTTTAGCGTACGGCCGCGTCAGAAAATTACCGCGGCCGCTTGGTTTTCATATATTCAACCCCCGGTACGCGTAGAAACCTACGGCGCACCCCTTAGTTACAAGGAACTACCGCCATTTTTCTGCCCCCACTCGCGCGTCACTCCTCTTTTTGTTTTAATACTAATTTTCAGGGAGCAAGGGAGAGAAAAATGGGGAACGTGTATCGTTGGAGAGCTAGTCCAAGGAACTCCCGACAGGCTACCTTTTTCTTTGATGTTAACGTGCTATTCAGCTACGAACGTTCCTCTCTTTCTGTATGATTCTGTTTTTATTTTTTCGGCCAATCTTTCTGTGATTTTGCTTGTTAGAGGGCCAACCGGGGTTCTGGATTTTCGGGGTTGCTAGTAGAAACTGGTTTTATAAAAGTTTTGTCGAGATTGGTTTATTGGTTTGTTTTTGTGGGAATTGGTTGTTGTGTTACTAGGAATGAGGATCTTTTCTGATTATTTTGTGATAGTTGGTATAGTTGTTGGTTGGATGAGTGATTTTGTGTTAGGAACTTTGTTGGGAACTTTTTTGAGTATGTTTGAGTGTGTTTGGAGTGTTGTGTGATTGAATATGTTGCAGAAATACGGAATGTTTGACGTAATTTTGGATTCTGAGGCAAGTAGGAAATGGAACTCGAAGGTATCGAATATTCTACAGTTTGAGGATGTTTGGTTACTCATATCATAAATCACGAATTTTTAAATATGGTAATATTTTTAATTCGCCAGATTCCCTAAGGAAAATATTGTAATTCATGTAAAAATGTTTAACTTCACGCTGGAATTAATCAGCAATGATATATTACTTATTTCTAGAGATAATAAGTTGAGTTTGAATATGTTTGAGCATGTTTGAGTACTCACCGCATTGTTGGGGTGTGTCTGATCGGTTCTGAGCTCTCGATGATTGCTGAACTGGACGTAGACTACTCTGCCACGGAGCTGAGCGATGCAGTTGCCGTAGCAACCCACCATCGCTGCTGCAGCATTCTCATCCGCCATTTCCAAAAACGCCTGAAACAGAAAAACGTACATTTTGGTTAACAGAAAATCAAATAAAACAAAAATCCTCACAACTGTCGCGCAGCCCTTATCGGAAAACAAACTTATTCCGGAACACTGTACTCATATATCCCGATGCCGCACATGGGAAAGCAGATACGAAATTTTTCAGATTTAAGTGACTGTGAAACCGGGGTAGTTAAAAGTTCGAAGCAAAAGGAACTTTTTAAATGGAACGTAAACTGCCGTTTAATTGAATATCCGCTGCGTTTCGCGTTTTAGGTTTTCCAGCGGGACAGGAAAAAAAACAAATTCATTTCAATCAGACGGCTGTTATTTGAATTTCACGTACCAGAACGGTCACTTTTTGAAACACAAACTACGAAGAGACTTCTTCACGTGCAGACCATCAAGGAACCCAAATATTAATACAGAATTATCTCCGTAATTGAGTTCCGGTGTTTCCAAGTCTACCCCCAGGCTTTCGTAATATTTTCAACCGGTCGATGGCAGCCATCTTGCGCGCGACATTCGAAACAACGGTTCTCGTATAATACGAAGCAACAGTTGATTCTTACATATCAAACGTAATCGAAATATTTCATGAAAATTTGAAGACTATGTATAATATAACTGAGGCACATCAACGTGGCAATTAACAAAATAATTCAAATTCCCTTACTGAATTAATTAAAAAACTAACAATATAATCAATAAAGAAGCTTCTGACTTCGACGAATAAACCAAAAAATCGACAAAATTCGTACAAACAATTGGAAATTGTTAAAATTCTCATAATTAAAGCATGTCACACACTATCGAATAAATCTACTGTCGAGTCATATTCAACGTACGAGCGTAAAGGGTTAAGAGACATCTTTCCCTGCTTATTACACGAATTTCGTGGCTCGAAAACCGTGGTTCCCAAGTGACACGAGAAAAAAAGAATTCGATTACACCCGATAGGCAGCGACATCTGTCTCAGTTCTGGCAGCTCGCCTCATCCCCCGATTTCTTCGTTGCATCCCACCGTTCCCCCGCGATCCATTCCAATCGGCGGCCGAGAGGAAACGTTGCATCTGCATCGTGCCTCTGATCCACTTCCTAACCCCTCACCCCGCCCGGCAGCCGCCATGTTCCCCGCCATATTTCTTTTTTCAGTTCGAATCAATATTGCTTAAGGGTAGAACGTCGCGCACGGTGACTGGCGCTAGGGCAATTTCTCGCGTCCCGTATTTACCGATTCAACGGTTTATTATTTGAACGCCAACCCCTGAACCCACCCGCACCCCCTTAGCCAACAATATTCTAAGAAACGAGAAATAGAAACTGAATAAAGAGCAAAGCAGGGTCGGGATAGAAGATTTCGAAGCATTTGGGGCTGGTTGATCGTGTTTACTACGAAACTGAGCTGAAAGGGGTTGAATATTTAATTTGTTCAGAATTTAAATTATTTCTTACTGTTTTATCGAAGAATTGGGGTTATAGTTGTTTCGTTTGAACGTTTTAATATAGAAGTTTGTTCACTTATTTGGGAATATTTTTGTTAATCGGTTTTACTACGAAATTGAGCTAAAAGGGGTTGAATATTTAATTTGTTCAGAATTTAAATTCCTTTTTACTGTTTTATCGAAGAATTGGGGTTATAGTTGTTTCGTTTGAACGTTTTAATATGGAAGTTTGTTTATTCATTTGAAAAAGAGTAGAATTGTATTTATATAAGGGTTGTGTTTGTAATTGTGTTGTGTGAATAATTGTAAGAAACGATAGTGAAATGATTGATTATTGTACAGTGAATGATTAAAAGGATGTTCATGAAGATTATTTTCTCCTTTGTAGACTTTTAGCTAAATATCAATGATAAACTGGTTGACGATCATTTGATGAATTTTCAATATAGTGAAAATAAGATATTTAGCATACAGAGTTTGATTAATTATCTGAATAATTTCTATTTCATTCAAATTATTGGAATTGGCGAGTTACAAGGAAATTACAGTAATACAGAAACAATTAGAAACACTGTAATGAAGAGTTTGAACGATCATCTAGGGATTTGTTAATGTACAGGCGCTGACAATGTTGCTAGAGTGGTTCAGAGACAGAAGCGAGGTCTTAACGCGCGATTCCTATTAAACGAGTCGCGAAATCCGATCAAAGAAGTCTCACGGACGCCCCCTCAATCCCCTAGAACTTCGAACAACTGGAATTAACGACATCGAGCTATTAAATTTCTCGAAACTCCGGCGACTACGTAAACAGCCATTGGGCAGGGAATTGGAAGGACGATCACGCACAGGCTTAGATGAGGAAACGGTCCGCCATTTTTTACAGACGGATAAGGAATGCCTGTCATTTACCTTCGGGAAATAGAATACGAAATCCTTGTAAGTTCCCTGAAGAAATCGAGCCTTGATAAATAAATCGATTATTGGAATAACTCGCTGTTGCCTCGAAATGAATTATTGTTCAAACTGTGAATTAACTTCTGTTTCATTACCATAATTGTTCGTATCTTTTACATCCTAACTGTGATAATACAACTCACAATTTTGTGTATTTAATACAACTACATTCTAATCATTTTTTATCAATAAATTGGCTTACAAAATATAGATGAAGAATTTAGCTCTGTACCAGATTTTTAAAAATTGAAAATTCAGTAACAATCCGAGCTATAAAAATTTCAAAGTTCTAAATAATACAATTCCATTACATACACTTTTAAAATTTCAAATCATCATTTTTCAAATTTAACCTTCAATCTTCTAGAAATACTCTTTAATCATCCCGCCAGTTTCATATTACCACAAATCCCAAACACTAATAAACAAATGTCACAAAACAAACCATACTGAACTCAAACATTCACAAACAAACTCGTAATTAACTCTTTGCCTTACGATATCACGTCATTCCGTTCTTTCGAGTTCAAATGAAACATTATTCTCATTATTTTATAATCCAATACAGTCATAATAAATCATTATTCTTCTTTTTAACAATTTGTAGGATTTAACGTAAATCCAGCCACAGAAACAACATGGAACTCGTTTCACTAGTGCATCATTACCGATAAATAATTCTAAAAAGTCCAACTGTCATAATCCCTATAAAAATTCTAACAGATTATTTCCAGTTTCCTCAGACATTCATCACACTATTCAATTAACCCTTTGCCCCAAATACTGAAGTAAAACAGCTTTGTTCCTTAATTTATGCTCATTAACTCTAAGTTAATTTTGAAAAACGTCGTCTACACCTTATTGGAAAACGTTGAATATTTCTACCAAAGAACATTCGAGCGCAAAGGGTTAAGACTATTTACCTTCAAAATCATTTCGAGCATTCAATCGATAATTCCCAAACAAAGCCCCCAAAACCAGTAATTTCGACGGATAAAAATGAAACACCGAACAAGAAACATTCCCCGAAAAAAAGGACTCAAATCAGAAGGGGCTTCATTAGCACGTGGATCGAAATTTCACCGAAAAACGCAGTTTGTCCGTGGGAAATCGAGTTTCACGGGACGAACGATCATTCATTCGCATTTCCATGGGGGCTGATCATTCAGCTGGGACCGGCCGCCGCGGCGAGGAACACGGGAAAATTTGAGCGTAGGCGTGGAAAACGCACACGGGCGCAGAGAATAACACACGCGGAGGGAATAATGTCGCGACCGGACCGTCGACCGTCCTGAATTTAACGGCGTTAACTCCGTTTCCAGCGCTAATGACGCATAGAGCCGCGGAATTGGGTTTCCGGCCGAATGGACGGAAATTCTCCGCGCGGATTTCTGCCGAGGATACGATGTCCTTATGTCAACCCCACGCGTGCCGCGTTACGGGCCGAGGGGAGGGGAGCTGCGAATCGACGAATGACCACGCTATTGTTTGCCGATTAAACTCATACTGCGATACCCGGGAAAATGATCTATTCACGCCGGTGAAACGAGGGAAAATGAGGCGAGACAGTCCGCGACGAAATTTCGGGGGCGCGAGGCTGTTCCTAATGAATAAATTAGAGATTATTAACCACTCGCCTTCTAATTTTTAATGTTGCACGATTATTTATTGTTAATAATGCGCTGGGGATAGTAACGATTGTATGCTGTTTCTGTGTGTAGGTTTATTTTGAACTATAGAGATCTAGAGGGTATATTAATGTTGAATATTAATGTGTTGTCACTGTAAAAATAGGGGTAATGTAATGTTGAAATATTAGAATTTAAAAGTAACTTCGAAATTTTTTATTTTATGGTATTCAATTTTTAGGTTCTCGACTTTGGAATATTCTATTTAGAGATTTTCAACTTTGAAACTTTCAACTGTGAATTATTCAAGTTTGAAATATTCAACTTTGAAATATGGAATTCTCAAATTTTCAACTTAGAAATATGCAACATTGAAATATGGAGCTTTGAAATTTTAAATTTTCAAATATGGAACTTCAAAATGTTCAAATTTGAAATTATCAACCTTAAAATATTAAACTTTGGAACACTCAATTTATAAATTTCATTATTTTCAGTTTCTTCAGTCCTTCATTACAATATTCAAATAAAACTATTTACTTCGAAAATGATTTCGAATATTCAATGCTTCGAAGATACCAATAATTGCGAAACAAAGAATCCAATCATTTCGATTTCTAGTATCAATAAATTACAATATACTGTAAATCTTTCCGTATGACAATTGATTTTCCAGCATGCCGTTCGAATACTTTCACCGTGGACTGCATATGCGACGATAATGTGCATCTTGAGAATGTACAATCACCGAAAGAATGGGTGGCATGACGATAATCGTAGAGGCGTGGATATCCCCCGCGGTAACCAACCCCATTACAAGGGTACGGGCCGCGTTTATGGGCTCGTAAATCACCACAAGGGGGTGGCATTGGGGCGATTATTATTTTGCGGATACGGTTACGTGTATAGGTACAAGGTGTTCCAACGAATAATTTATAGGCATTCAGTCTCATATTTCCAGCGCGTGGCACGTAAGACA